TTTCGTCTCATAATAATAGTGATAAAATACCATCTTTAACACACCCCATGTCCCAGTGCTGCTATATAGCTCCTTTCTTCCACCACCTCTCTCTCATAGGTCCATGTGGCAGACTCTTATTTATGTGGTCTGACTTGTGTGAAAAGTAAAGCAAGTTAATTTAGAATTAACCAAGTCCCTTATATAGATGATCCTGCATCCATCCTCTTTGCTGTCCCTCTGCATCTATCTGCCATTCTATACATGAAAACAATCATATTTCCAAATGTTTTCTATAATGATATTTCTTACTTTGATCTGGTATGAAAAACTGTTGGATCAGAGCTGGACAACTGATGATCTCCAACCTAAATGGAGCCTTCCTGGCATATACTGTGAGCCAATTATGAGCTCCCCAGTTCTGTATTTCAAAGCAAGTAACAACAATAATTAGAGTGTTGTTAATGCTGCAGGCAACCTTTTCTTTTTCCTATGTGTTACCAAATCAAGAAGCAAGGCTATACGAGCAAAGGAGGAAGAGGTTGGGTCTGGGGAATCTCAGTCGAAAGCCACACCAGCTATCAAATCCCCTCCCTCCCCAGTCTTCCAGCCCATCACAGTGCTGCTGTGACATTAAGGAGGATAAGTACCATACAAGAGGAATCAAGAAACTATTCACAACTGTTTTAAGTGTTAAAAAACACTTATCATTCAATTGCCTATCAACATTGCTATTATGTGCAGTTCTGTCTATTCTTTTCCCTAATACATTTCAAACCACACAAGGGCAAGTCTTGCTTCACCTCTTGGGCCATGGAATTGACACCAAGACTCAGAGTGAACTAATTTAACCTAAGCTTCTGGAAATATGAAAGGAGCTTCTGGCCTTGAAAAATGTCATTCTGTTCTTTGTACATCACACAGTTCTCACATCACACAGCGCTTCCTAAATGCCAGAATGTTAATATGCACATAAAGGTTTGAGTCTGCAAAAAATAAATCTGTGTATGTGTGTATGTGCATGTGTCGATCTACATTTCCCTCCCTGCAGATTAAACTCTGACAGGTGCTTTGCATGTCCAGAGACAGTGCAAGTGGGTACAGGAAATGGATGGCACGTGAGGATTCTTGGACTGCCCTTCTCTGCCTTGTACTCTAAGTCCAAGTAGTGACCATACTTGATATGGGCCATGGAATTTTGTCAGAAAGTTGACACTGCCAAATGTTCTTTCTTTGCTGGTCCCCTTCTCTCAATCATCTTTGGCAACCTAAAGCCTGTCTCCGTTTCTGATATATTGTCTCAGTGCTGGCTGGGTGATGCTATCAATTGCTCTGTGCCTGGGAGATTTATCCACTACCCTGAAGCTTCTTTGTCAGATTCCTTAAGAAAGGTAAGAGCCATGATGGAGATGGAGATCACTGGAGATGTTTAGGGGAGCTCCATCACTTCTTGGCAGGTGTTGGTTGCATGGTAATCCCTTTTAATTTCTTCCCCTTCTTCTGCCCTAAAATCCAACACTGCTTTCTGGAGAAAGAAAAGGATACAACTGTCCCCAACTGCTATACACTCTCATTTATTTTGTTTCCTTTCCTCTTCCTAAAAACCCAATTCACATCCCCTTGCCTTGGGTGCAGTTTTAATCCTGACAGCAGCCAGAGGATTAAAAATATGCTAGCCTTCAATTTCTCCCTGCTTCCCCCCCCCCCATCACCACCACCTCTCTCTTTCTCTCTCAGGATGGTGAGCTACTTTATTTTCTGGAAAAAAATATTATCTTTCTTTTCAAACTCTCTTACAAGCCTATTTAGCCTGACACTCTGTCTTCTTTCTTAGCTTCCTGGACAGATGGGCCTTAGCTGACCTGTTGATAGCACCATTAACTTTGGATCTCATTCACCTTACCAAAGGATTTGACAGTCTTCTTCATCTTCTCATCTTCCCCTTTTCTGTACCCTCTAGCATCAAATCAAGCTGCAGCAGACTTGACAAATTTATTTGGCACACCATAATTATTTCAACCTGAGCCATGGAGTTTCTGCAGGAAACCAGTCTTGGAATACTAAGGATACAGTATCAATTTCTATTAGGACCTGGTACACACTTGGTACTTGCCCAAGAGAAAATTTCCTGCACAATATTTGGAATATAAAAACTGCATTGGCATAAAATTAATGTTTGAAGCAATTTTCACACTTTAGCCTTCATTATTCATAGAGAATCTAACTTTTTTGAGTTTATTTGCTGATTTATTTATTCATTAGATAGATTTATATTGAGTCTTTCCAACTCACTCAGAAAATTGAAGGTAATTTAAATAATTTAAAATTGGTAACATCTAGCAAAAATTAAACGTTGAAAGCATCTAAGCAAAAATTAAATGTTGAAAGCATCTAAAGCAATGGAACCAGAAATTAAAAAAATACATAAAAGTAATTTTAAATACTAGCATAATGTCAACTGCTTATTATAATTTTATCAAGACATAAGATAAACAGATTGAGAAAATATATGTAGAGTGAGCGTACAATGCCAGTTTTATCACAGCAACCCTCTTCCCGCAAGCATTGCTTTAACCCTTTGCATAGTGCAAGGAATGATCCAGAGGGGACATGCTTAGAAATCCTCCCTGCTGTTCATAATCCCAGCATGGCAGGTTGAGGGAGGACAGGAAGCAATCCTAGTTATATTCAAACAAATAAAGAAAGATTCCACTTTTCCCTGGGCAAGGCCATCGAGTGTGGCATCACAGGGATACCCATGAGGACATGATCCCTGCCTTTCCATGCCACACTTCATGAGAACCTATAGGAGGCTTAAATTTCTGGATTAATGTTAAGGACTGTATTGCTTTAAAAACCATTTACATAACTGATGCTCTGAGCAAATAAGTTTGTACTAAGCTAAATCAATAGAATGATCCAATAGAATGGGATCAATTGATACAAACGTCTGTTCAAAAATAGCTCATCTATCTCAGCAACATCTCAATTTGTTGTGAATGTCATATTTACCAAATTCAAATTCAGCGAATTTATTGCTTTCTCTCTTTTTTCCCCCCTGAACACAATTTCTAATTGTTCTCCATATGTGTGACCACTGCAGATACATGAAATATTTTTCTGAATCCTGCTGGAAAGTTGGCTCAGGTTCAGCAAAAAGCATTTGGGCATTATTAAGTATAAGGAAGCCAGAGCAACGCAGAGAGACTTAGGTTCCAAAGGGTGGAAATTAAAGGAATTCTGTTCAACCAGCTTCCCCTCCAAGCCTCCCAGGTTCTCAAAAGTCCCCCAACTGAAGGATCACATTAAATCCAAGGAACACAAAGAAACTGGAACACCAATGGACCATAAGCAGCCTTGAGGAACATGAACTGAACAAGTAGTTCAAATGTCCTCAACTACTCTCTAGGCTCTTTTTTTTTTTTTTTTTTGGGGGGGGGGGGGGGGGGGGACCTAGCAGCTCAACTGAAAGATAACAGCCTGCTGTGGCTTCCTTTTCTTGTACTGGCTGCAAGACCAGTTCTGTGGGCAGGCCTGGCGCTTTTCAGAAATAGGAAAGGGTAGCCTGCCTCTCTTGGAGAAATAGGTGAAACCTTGGCACCATTCCCTTCAGACAACTCACAAAAGACCTCCCTCTTACCTGAAAGCAACAGTTTAAATGGGCTTCTTTGTCATTTCCCTGACAATAACAGAGAAGAGATACACACAGGGTGGGAATAGATAAGCATCCATCTCTCCTGGGGGCAGCAACTGCTTTAGTGAGGGTTTCAAGGGGGAAAAGAGGGGGGAGGATTTTTCCCCTTTGACCTAAGGTAGCTCACTGTTCTGCAGCACAGTACTGAGGATTAATTTAGAAGTGTCTCCAAAGAAAAAGCAAAGATCAGTGGCGGCTTCCTGTCGGTCGTCCCCCCCCCCATCCCTGTAGTTACAGCTTTATTAGACCCAGCTGTGCTCCGCACTGATATCCCTCTGGCACACTTGCCCAGAGCACAAAAGAAGGGGCTTACTTCTCTCCCTCCCCTGCCCCAAATCCCCATTGAGCACAGGCTATGCATTCAGAGGTGGGAAGATCAGGGAGGGTCAATGCAGCTGTATTTAAAGGCAGGCCAAGTACAGACTCAGAGCACCCCATGCATCGCTGCCAGCCAGCACAGCGGCTGCAATTCCCTTATCCCTGACAAACCAGATTGCTCCTTATTATTTATGGTTTGGATTTATTCTCTAGGACATCATGATCCTCTCTCAGGATTTGTGCCCTTTCATTTTTCAGGCTTCAATAATTCCTGAAGTGCAGCTTCATGTGGCTTTGTGATTGTTAACCCAGCATGTGGATGAGGCTCAGGCCATTAATGCTCAATGAATCTTATGTAGCAAAACATAGTCTGCAAGACTATTTTCTCCTTCATTGGCAGTCAGAAAGCACACTGCAGACTCTCCCTCCACGCTCACCAGAGTGTGTTTTCCAAAAACATATTTGGTATCACACCAAATTTGCACTCTTCAAGCTCCATTTGGGACTTGATGGATCTCACAACATTCTTTGTTTTATTTTTGCGTCTTATCTGGCCTGCAATTTTCCTTAGGATTGCTGTGGCTGTACTTGGATGGACTCAGCTGGTCCTTCCTTGTCTTCATTCCAATGGATGTTCAAGCATAGGGTTCATGGCCCTGATCTCCTCAGAACATTTCCCCCTCCCTCAATTCAGCCACTACTGCAACTACAGTCACACACTATTGGGAATAATGGATGGATAACAGTCTTTTTCTCTTTCCAATTCATAAAATCTTTCAAAGGCAATAGAAGAAGGGCAATCAGATTACTGGAACATTTCAAGATTTGCCCACTACCTCAACAAGAGAAAAGAAAAATGACTTGGGAAGAGGACTTCATCGTTTGCAGCTTTTGATGTAAGCTGCATGAAATGCCAAAGATGCTTTACAGATCTGAGTTCTTCCATTTCACTATCAAGATAAGTTTTTGAAATCTAGAATTATTTAAGGAAATGAGGAGAAGCACTTACTTTGTGGTTTTTGCCATGCCGGTACATCATCCAGTCTTCTCCATTTGTGCTGACCTCCAGTTTGTATGAGCGAACATAGTATCCATTTTGTGTTTCTCTGGAAATGGCGCCCTGAGTAGCAATGGCTGTGAGCACAGTCAGAAAGCGAAGATCCACCTATTATAAGAACAGGGGATGATGATAGAGGAAAATTAGCAACTAAAGACTTGTTCCCTAAAACATTTGAAGTTCATTACCTGAAACATTTGAAGTTCTTTCAGATATAATATTCTTCTGATACTTTAATGAAACTGAATGAAAATGCAGACCAAGGTGGGAGAGAACTAGTAAGTTAGTGTCATAAAAATGCAATGAGCCCATCATTCTACTGTGGGATGTCTTCCGGTTGAACCCCACAAAGAAATATCAACAACATACACAAGAAGCCTATGGTGCTAAAGGAATGCTGGGCTGCAGTTGCTTCAGGAGCATGTGTCTGACAATCAGGATTAGTGCTCAGCTAATATAAATTATCATAACAATAACTCAATATTAATAGATCCCTCTGATGCAGCTTCAGCAATTGCCACTGGCCATGTCTGGGTTCCTATTCTATCTAAATGCTGTCCCAGTATAAGAAGTTAATAGGATCAATTTTCAGCTGAGTTAACATTTTAGATGGAGCAACATGTGAGCCATAGAAGGAAATGTTTTCAGTCTGTGGTTTTGTTACAGCTTCCAAAATTGAACAAGATTAGCACATTTTGGAATTGCCTCCCTTGCTCATCTCTTTCTTGTTGGATTGGACTGTAAACATTTCTAGGATAAAATCTCACCAGGATTTTCACAAAATGTTTGGCATAACTGTGTCACAGCCTTGGTTGCAAGCAATAATAATAATAATGTACTGCAGCATCTGAGTGAAAATGTTTTTGAGCATAAGCAGGCTGAACGTTCCCTTAGCAGCATATCATTAGACTTACAGAGTAGAACCTCCCAATGTTTTGCTATGTCAGTTGCAGATTTCAGTAGTGAGAAAGGAATTTTTCTCGTTTGGGAAGGATATGCTGAGCTTGGTAAAGGATTTTAAATCTTTGATTCTGCTGTTACTGAAGTCAAATAAATCTAAACTTAAACTACAGGCTATTTATCAACTGCATCATCTGTAGAGGCCAATTTATATTGGGGTGGGATGCTTTTCACTCATAAGATGTAGTTATTATGTTCACTTCATGTTTTTCAGAGATGTTCAATGGATCTGATTCATACAAAATCAATATGCCAGCCCAGCAACTTAGAATTGGGCATCTATAGCAAGTGAGGACTTCTCTCCCCCACCCCATAATGGAAAGTGCCATCTAGTACTTCCCACTGCAATCACCAACTTTGCCACCATCTGTTGGTTAGATGTAGGCCCTGTTAAAGCATTGTTTTCACACACTCTTACTGAAGTTTCCATTTGTTGAACATTGCAGTCCCCCAGAAGAATAATATTATTCTAGTTATACCGGTTCAACACACATGAGAAAGTCTCCCTCTTTTAGATCACTGCCGAATCAACAAGGCTATAAGTGGTAGCGTGCGTTCTCCCGCTCTCTCCCTCTCCCTCTCTGGCCTCTGGAAAGCCCATTAAAGTTCAGGGGGCACCAGGTCAAGCCAAGAACTTCTGCAGGAATGTTAACAGCCCCAACAATTCATGAAGGCAGAGTCACACACCCTTTCCCAAGCAACATTTCAAGCCTTTTTCACAGCTCTCAGTTTGCAGTAAGATCAACAAAGACCCTCCAAGGCTCATGTTCTAAGGTTGATTTAGCAGCAGGATAACCTATTTGGTTCAAGGATAAATACACACATGAGCTGTGGGGAAGGGAAAGAACATAAAAGTCTAGGAGACAGTCCTAGCCATGATATATATGTATCTAAGCAAATGGATAAATAAAATCCAAACCTTTTAAAGAAAATAATGCCAGCTGCATTTTTGGATTTTTTTTACAAATTTGACTGGTAATTGGCAGGAAGTTACCAGGAACTGGCAACTCTTTTTTCCCCCAAAGAATCTGGTAACTGGAAGCCTGATATTATAGCTTCCCAGTCTTTCTAAATGGCATAGGTGTCATTACTGTAGGCTATTGTGAAAGAAACAGAACATACCTGCAGGAACTCTTTGTTGCTATCCACATTAGGAGTCCACCCATTATCATCACTATTGAGTCGGCTCTGTTGCGGAGTCCACCTGCCATCAGAGTATGTAGAGGAGGCTGTGATTTGCTCATTGGAGATCCGTCCAGATTCCATTCCCAGTGGACTGTTGCACTGGAAGTCTAGAATAGGTAGAATACAAAACTGAAGACAACTCTTCTACAGAACTGTGTGTTCTCTCCTAAATGAATCATTGGCACCAACTGCCTCTCAACATCCTATCAAATTGTTTATGGCTGCTGAAGTACAGAATTACCGCTACAGATCTGTAAATTAAATATAAGCATTCAGAAGAAAGAATACAGGGCCCAATGAAATCCATTTTCAATTGTGGTGCAACTACTGCAGAGAGAAAACTATAGAATTTTGCATGAAAAGCTGGGAATTTTGCACTTTGCAAGTGGAATAAATATTGTGAAAGTCTTTATATGTCCTACATTTGTATATTAAACAGTCCCATTCAAGTAAAAATTGATTTACCCCACAACTGAAAAACCAGTAGGTCAGGGATGGGGAACCTTTTATGGCTCACTCAGGAATTCTGGGAGTTGAAGTCAATAAGTGATAGAAGAGCCAAGTTTCCCTACCCCTGAGTTAGCTTGTTCAGGCACAGCAGGAATCCTGCCAGACTGTGCTCCCACTTGGTTTAGAGAAACAACGCACTGGCCTGTCCAGGGAAAGGAGTGAGTTCTGAGAATAGCCCTCCTTTAAGTATGCAAGTCCCTCCCAATTTGTGATCACTATCATATTTATTCATGATGTCTGGGGATTGCAACCACAGTTTGAGAACCTACGTTATTAGATTGCAGGGCAGCCAGATAGTCTCCTTGCTTTCTAATTCCAAGCAAATGCTGATTGAGGCCTTAATTTTCCTAATAGGACTGGCCTAGCTGTAGCTAGTGGCAATGTTCATGATTATTATAGAAAACACAGAAGCCTTGCTTTTAAGAGAACCAGAAGCTCCACATTGTGTTTTCCATTTTATAAATATGTCACAGGAGTAATAGAATATCACACATATGAAAAAGAGCTGAGATCTTACAAAGACAAAGAAACAATTGGTAACATTGTAAGCATTCAAATTTCTGAATTCTAAACATAGCTTCAAGTGTCTCTCTGTACAAAACAGTTAAACCTAAGTCTAAACCTCCTGATTTTGAAAATAAAATATTGAGATTTTATGTTGGGTTTAGAATTTCTACAGCACTTTCAAATACTGGCACTGAAGCTTGGATCTTAGCTTCAATATTTCACCATTTGGGGTGGAAAGACAAAATGTCATATAAAACCAAACTTAATGGGTGTGACGAAATTCAAATTCCAAATCTCAGCTAACAATTTTAAAATTGTTGAAATGTTACTTCTCCCCTCTAAATGTAAGGATCAGAAAAGATAACCCAAAATAGATATATTCTAACTTCGTGATGGCGAACCTATGGCACACGTGCCAGAAGTGGCACACAGAGCCATTTCTGCCAACATGCAAGAGGTCACCTGGGACAGCCCCACTGTGCATGTGCGCCCACCAGCCATCTGATTGTCGAGTGTCTGCTACGCATGTGTGTGGGAGGTGTGCGTGCAGGGGGGGCGCACATACGCAGGAGAGCGGGGGGGGCACGCATGCATTGCATTATGGGTGGAGGCATGTGTGTATGCATGCGCACGTGCGCACACACACACACTTTTGGCACGCGACAAGGAAAAGGTTAGCCACCACGGTTCTTACTACACTGTAGGTCTAGAACAGTGCTTGAAATTACTCAGACTGAACCAACTTACTCTCTGGCTCCTCCTGCTGGACCAAATAATAGCGAGCAGAAAAGCCATCTTTAGCTACAGCCAAATCTGTGTGGAATGTGAGGGATAAGATGCCAGTAGTTGAGTGGATCTCTGAAAGAGTTTTTGTACCACAGTACCTGCCAATCAAGGGCCCAACTGCAAAAGAGATAAAAAAAATGCTATTTACCATCTCATAGGCATGTTCTCTCTTTGGTTGGAAAAGATGATGAGATAGACAGTTGAAGGAATAAATATGCCAACCAGATAAAATGAAACATTATATATGTTTTTTAAAATAACATACTTAATATGAATTATGCCCCAAATTTGCAAAAGCTTTTCTCTATAGGCAAGTATTAAAATAAATAAACCTCTGGATTTCATGCAAGTTGCCTAAAATGCCTATCTTCAACATTGGTTCACAAAACTTAATAGGACAGCTTTTAACATTTCAAACAGTATCCTAATCAATGACTGCTTTAAGATAAATAACTATAGAACTTACCTGGAAGTAAAGCCTACTGATCAGAATTTGAAATCTGAGAAGAAAAGGCATATGACTACACAGTAACATATCTATTGTATATCTGTTCAGTCCCCCACACCCACATCCTAACAGATATTCACAAAAAACAAACAGGAATTTATGTAGTTGTGAAAAGACTAATTTAGAGCTATATATATATATTTAACACATGCATTGTTTCCCTGACATGTAAATCACAAATGATATGCTAATGGAGAATATTTTTCAGCCCCTTTTCCACAAAAATTGTTGTGATACTATATGCAGAACTTTGCTGAAAGCAACCAAGTATAAGATTTTTTTAAACATTATTTTCCTTTTTTTCTAACTAGAAGTTCAGGATTCTTCAGGAGTTCAAAGATTCTTCAGGAGTTCAAAAAAGAGATTTAATTTCCATTCAGAGTTAATTCCTTTCTAAGAACAAAGCAACAATAAATGAGATTGCACAAAGCAATGACAATGTTAGCAATTTATGACTGTCACAGAATTCTTCAGTCTCAAAGTGAATTGTTCACTTGACGCTGGCCAGAGAAGTAAACCCCAGCAGTGCATCCTTTAGTTCTTACCTTGAGGAATACCATCCCAGATGTCCAGCCAATCATATTTACAATCTCCCTCCCCGACTTGCAGAGGGTCATGCTCTAGGTCAAATGTTAAAAACTGAAGAACAATCTCCATTTTCGGCTTGGCCATGATTGTGAAGGCGCAGTCCAAATTGTGTGGATACTTATCAGGGAAGCCTGGGGATTCGATGGTGCCATTTGAACTGGTGAAGTTTCTAGAACAATCTTCAGAGCCTACAGAAAGAGACAAGAATTAACCTCATCATCAGCCACTTCCCTTACCATATCCAGGCTGTATGTTATTCATAAGCATTCTTTTTAAGCACTTAATTCCCTCATGCAGAAAATTGCTCTCGCCTTGCAAAAGTATTAATTATTAATATCACTGTCCCCATTTCATTTTCCATTCAAGTGGCAATTCTCAGGAAACAACACCTGCAGACTACTAGCTTAAGCTTTGAAAAACAGCACATCTTCAACAATGACTAAATTAAGACTGCTTGAGAAAGGAAGGACATGTGTGAAGGGCTCTGGTGAAAAGAGAAACAGAGCTGCCTTTCTCTCTTCATCCACGGTAATCATCAAAACTGAAATGCCAGTTATTTCTATCCTCAAGGAATGCCTTTCTAACTGCCAGCCGTGGGGACAATATTACCATTTATTTAGGGATGACCCCAACACTGGCCCTCATTGTGCCTCAGCAGCTAAGTGCCTTCTATTTTTTGCAAAGCCTAGGTGCCTTAGGGAGAAGGAGACTGCATTCTCTTCAGGCCATGATTGCATTAAGGCCATTGCTCTGGAGAGAACAGACAATCAACAATTGAATTCTCAGGGCTACACGTCACTAAGAAGAGGGAAGTGGGCAGAGAATGTTACAAGCCTCTCTGATTCCACAACTATAGCAGAAGGTTACCTTTCACCACTCTTGCACCCTTGGCTTTTCTAAGGAAAAGTTAACACAATTCCCATGAATCATGACCATTCTAACAATTTGCACAGACTTCTAGTTCTCTTAAAGAAACTGGGTTGGGCTTAAACCCACAGGAACAAAGAAGCCTATGGAAATCTATTTAAATCAAACATTATGCAAAACAAGTGAGAATTAACTGGATAGCTAGACAATATAAATTTAAATCCAACAGCCCCGATTCAGGCATCTGAAAACAAATAATCAAATCTGTTAACATTACTGACCAACAAAGTTTGAGAGTGTGTTTTGAACATTATACTTATGTATTATATTGGGGAGGAGAGGGTGAGTCAATTTTAAAGGGTTGTACTCTCTAAATTATTAAACACATACAGAACTTTCAGGGATATGTTAACATTTTCCCCACTACTGACCAATATTCTCATCACCAGGGGTGGGATTTTCGCACCTATATTCTAGAACTGGTTGTTAACATTATAAGCAGCTCGGAGAACCGATTGTTAGAAGAAATTACTGGCCTAATCCTGTAAGGAAGGCAGGAAGGGAACATTCTGGTGTTGCTTACAGAAACTGCCTCTCCATTAACCCTTATTACATTCTTGGCAGGACTAGACTTCCTGTCTCTGGAACCTCTCTGGAGTTTTTTTCCCTCCCTTGCTGGTACTTTGCTTGTGTGGAGTGACCATTCAAAGTTACAATAGCACTGAAAAAAGTGACTTATGACCATTTTTCACACTTAGGACTGTTGCAGCATCTCCATATTCATGAGAGGCCAGGCGAGGAGATGCGTGCCTCAATGTGAGTGATACTGAGTTGGCCAAACCCAGCCAATAACATGACCACCAAGCCATGTCCACCCAGCCACATGACCACCAAGCCATGCCCTCCACCTAAGCCATGCCCACAGAATTGGTTGTAAAAAATTTGAATCCCACCCGTACTCATCACCGAATGACATTATGATTCTAATAATTACTTTTTTATATCAGAGTCTACAAAGATAAAAGATAATAAAAACTAGAGAAGATTAAAAGACAATGTTATCTGAAAATTCCAGTCTGGTTATTGACTATTGAAGCATTTTCCTATCCTATAATATACAAGAAGGAACAAACAGTTAGATATGGTGAAATATTGAATGAAAAGGGTGAACTTAAATCTATGCAAAAACTAGAGGAACAAGGTATAAAGATGAATTGGTTTTCATATGTGCAAATACATTCAAGGTATGATGAAGATCTCAAAACAGAAGGATTTTATGATAAATTGACTAACTTAGATAAGATTTTGACAGATACTGATGAAAAGTTGATTAAAAAATTGTATGGTTATTTATTGGAAATTAAACTACAGGAAGAACAAGTTAAAGAAATTATGATTGCTTGGGGGAAGAATTTTGGAAATGGGATTTAGAGAAATGGCAAAAATTGTGGTCTCAAAATTATAAGATGACAATGTCAACAGCATATAAAGAAAATTAGTATAAGATGTTTTACAGGTGGCATTTTCCCCCAACAAGAATCGCAAGAATGTTCAAAAATAAATGCAAAAAATGTTGAAAATGTCATCAGATACCTGGCTCATATTACCATATGTGGTGGACTCGTGAGGACGCTAGAAAATACTGGACTAAAATCCGCATGTGGTTGGAAAAAATGACAAAGAAACATATAGACTTGAAACCAGAGATATTTTTATTGGGAATTTTACCTGATACATACAGTAAAGATTTAAAATATTTGATTGTAAATGTATTAACAGTGGCTAGAATTGTATTTGCTAAAAATTGGAAAAATGAGAAAATACCATCACAGGAGGAAATTATTAAGAAAATATTGGAATGTGCTGAAATGAGTAGATTGACATTTGAAATTAGAGAACAAGAAGATAAACAATTTTATAAAATTTGGGACCTTTTCTATCAATGGTTAGATAATAAAATATAATAATAGAATATTTAGAATTTTAGAAAATAATGAATATATAAAGATGTATTTCTTTTTTGTTATCATATCTATAAAATGTTTTTAGGATAGATTTGGGAGGATTATATGAATTGTTATAAAATAAACTAAGTAAATCATAGTTATCTCGCAAAGTATGAATGAACAAAATTATAGTCAAATGACTGATTAATAGTGATACTAGGGTATTCAATTTTTGATTGATAATATGAGTTATTATGCAATGTAATTGTAATTGAGACTATGAAATTGACGCACAAAAAATTTGTAAACCAACCAACACACTGCTTGTACATTTATGAAAGAAAGCTGGATGTTTTTATGTTTTGTTTGTTTTTGTTTGTCTTTAAAAACCAATAAAATTGTTTTTTTTTAAAAAGATAATAAAAACTAAGAAAAATATAAAAGGAGAAATACAGAGATAGAAAAAAAAGAAAAGAAAAATGTATAAAACATGACTCCCCCTCCCTCCAGATAAGAAATAACTTCAGTAACTTAACACCTTCTGTAATATTTCAATTAGAAATATATTTTCCTCACACCTGATTCCTTAACAATAATGAAATTGTAAAAACTCATAATTCAGTTGTAATCAGCAACAATCTATTAATTAAGGGCTATCAGAAAGTCATATTTTCATCTTAAACTAATACATCCATTTTGTATTCTAACTTTGCACTTTCTCTTAAGAAATATCTTCCCATTTATAAACAGATCTTTGAAGCAGATCTTCTAAAGAGCAGTCAGGGTTGATCTCCTCTAGGACTGACCAGTTTGATCACCTTGCAGTCCAAGGGACTTGCAGGAGTCTTCTCCAACACCATAGTTCAAAGGCCTTAATTCTTTCTTATGGTCCAACTTTAACAGCCATACATTGCAACTGGGAAAACCATAGCCTTGACTATACACACTTTTGTTGGCAGGGTGATGTCTCTGCTTTTTAGTATGCTGTCTAGATTTGCCATTGCTTTCCTCCCTGGGAGCAAGCATCTTTTAATTTCTTGGCTGCAGTCCCCATCTGTGGAGCCCAGGAAAATAAAATCTGTCACTACCTCCATTTCTTTCCCATCTATTTGCCTGGAATTGAGAGGGCTGGATGCCATGATCTTAGTTTTCTTAATGTTGAGTTTCAAGCAAACCTTTTCACTCTCTTTCTTCACTGCATAAAGAGGCTCCTTAGTTCCTCTTCACTTTCTGCCATTAGAGTGGTATCATCTGTATATCTGAGGTTGTTGATATTTCTCCTGGCAATCTTAATTCCAACTTTTGATTCATTTAGCCCTGCCTTTCTCATAATGTGCTCTGCATATAAGTTAAACTTCATGAAACACTGTAGGATTACAAAGCTGCTAAATTTCCAATGCAGCATAGCAGGCCTTTCTGGCTATTTTTTCTGGCTACCTTTTGCAGTCTTGCTTCTGTGGTTTTGTGGGTGTTCTGTGGTTGGGCCTGGGAGGGTTGCTTGGAGGATCCTGGGGCTGGGGGGAAAGGTTGAATGAGAGTATGTTGGTCCCTTTCCCCCAGGTGAGAGCTGGGTGAGAGGTGTGGCTCCCTGCTTGGTGGGTGAGAGCAACTGGGCAGGGTGCCATTTATACATCGAGTGGATGTATTCTTTTTTTTTTTTAAAGAGTGGACATGTTCTGATTATGTTGGGAGATAAGGGGGGCTGGATGTGACCCCTCTGCAGCAATAAGGGGTGGTGTGAGTTTGAGAGCACTGAGAGCAAATGCTATAGTGCCTGTAAGGCTCACCTTGCCCCCAACAATCTGTCAGTGGGAGTAGGGTCCCCCCCACTTTTAAAGAAGAGTGCTGGGGATGGGGGATGGAATGGTTCTCAGGGAAGGCAGAGGAGGGTGTCCTATTTTAGTGGTATCGGGTAACAGGACATACGGGAGACAAGGGAGAGGCAGACATGGGGAACATGACCTTGATGTTTAGTACCGATCTCATGTACTGCCCCATTGCACTCACCTCATTTTCCTGATCAGCAGATCTGTGGTGGCCCTGGTCTTAGACTGCTCCTTTTAAATGTGAGATCAGCCTGCAATAAGGCTAGCCGATTTGATCCTCGAAGAGAAGGCTGATCTGGCTTGTATAACTGAGACCTGGCTGGGTCCAGAGGGAGGCCTTCCCCTTGTACCCAGTGGGTTATCGAGCATGGCACCAGTCTAGACCTCAGGGCCGGGGAGGAGGTGTGGCTGTTGTTATCAGAGAATCTCTAGTAGCCTCCAGAGGCACTGGTCAACAAGTGCCTGGCTGTGGGACCCTTTTTTCTTAGATTGGGCTCAAGGGATCAGGTGGGATTGCTGCTGCTGTACCAGCCTCCCTGCTGCATAGCAGCTTCCCTACCTGGGCTCCTGGACCTCGCCACAGGGCTGGCAGTGGAATTCCCCAGGCTTATAGTTCTGGGGGATTTCAATCTGCCTTCTCTGAGAGTGGGGGCGGAGGTAGCCCAAGATTTCATGGAAATCATGACTTCCATAGGCCTGTCCCAGATTATCCAGAGCCCGACTAGTAATAGTGGTCACACTCCCAATTTGGTGTTTTTGTCAGAGCAGTGTCTATGTGACCTGGAATTGGTGGACCTGTCCTTGGTCCCCTTGTCGTGGTCAGATCACAGTCTGTTAGCAATGAGTTTCTCAAAAGCTGCACCCCACACAGCGAGACAGGACCTATTAGATTGGTCCGCCCCCATTGATTAATGGACCCAGATGGGTTCCAGAAGGAGCTGGGGTTATAACTGCAGATCTATTGTGCAGTCCAGCTGAGCTCTTAGTCACTGTTTGGAATAAGAAGGTGACTGAGGCTCTGGATAGGATTGCACCCTTTGTGACCTCTCTGTGCCCTATAGTATACAGAGGAACTGAGAGGGAGGAAACACATGAGGAGACACCCAGAGCGCCACTGGCGGAAGACAGGAGATAAACTCGATCGAACATGGGTAAGAGCTGCTACTAAGGCCTACCTTGTGGCGATTCATGTGGCAATGTGTAAATACTTCTCCACACTAATTGCATCTGCAGATAATTGCCCAGCAACCCTCTTTAAGGCGAGCTGCCTCCTCCTAGGGAAGGAGGAGATTGAGGTCCACCTGAAGGGGCACACTGAGAAATTTTCAGATTTTCTGGAAGACAAAATCACTCGACTTCATTCCCAGTTAGATGCCGGCATGGTTGTTGGTCTGGTGGAAGCTCCTGAGGCAGGTTCTTGCTCTGTTATCTGGGAATGGTTTGACCCTGTGGCTCCTGAGGAAGTGGACAGGATTCTAGGGAGTATGTGCGCAAGCACCTGTGTTTTAGACACATGTCCCTCCTGGCTTGTGAAAGCTTCCCAGGAGGTGACAGGTGGGAGGATCCTGGCAGTGATTAATGCTTCTCTACAGGAAGTGACGGTGCCCCAGCACTTTAAGGAAGCTGTGGTCCGCCCTCTTCTTAAGAAATATGTCAGCCTTCAAGATTTCTTTCCTTTGCTTTGCATCTTTCGGCTGTCCTAAGTAACGGGGGGGGAGGAGGAGGGGTGAAATAGTTATGGGAAGCAAGCTGGAGGTTTCAGAGAATAAACTGTATAAGTTGTTCTTGTTTATGCTTCTTTCTTATGCTATGCGCAAGCGCACCTCTTCATCAAACTATGTCAAGGTCAACGGACAGATGCCGCATCACCACCTGAAGATGCCCACATAACGTTACATACAACTTTTAATTGGATGGACAGTTTGGATTATTGTGAGTGGGAACATTGCCATCACTTTGTATATGTGATTTACATGCTCATTTTCTCAGATTCAGAATTCCTTTGATGCTACCACTTGATTCCCAGTAAAATATATCCTTTCTCTAATTAATGGAGTCTAAGTATTTCTTTCTTGGATTTTGAATGGAGTACCAGCTGACACCATAGTTGGATAATTTCTGACCTGTCTCCAATCTTTCCTTTTTGGGGAAGGTGGTTGAGAAGGTGGTTGCCCAGCAGCTCCAGAGGCTTCTGAATGAAACAGATTATCTCGATCCCTACCAGTCAGGATTCAGGCCTGGATTTTGGACAGAAACGGCATTGGTCACACTTTTGGATGATCTCTGGTGGGAATGGGATGGGGGTAGTGCATCCATCCTTGCTCTACTTGACCTCTCAGTGGCTTTTGATACCACTGACCATGGGATTCTCCTGGGGCAACTTCGGGGGATGGGAGTGGGAGGCCTTGTGCTGTCTTGGTTCACTTCCTTCCTCTGTGGCTGCTCTCAGTCAGTGTTGATAGGAAGGGAGAGATCCAGCCCTCGCCCACTGCTTTACAGGGTTCCACAGGGCTCGGGTACTCTCTATGCTCCTGTTCAACATTTATATGAAGCCGCTGGGTGAGATCATCCATCACCATGGACTGAGGTATCACCAATATGCTGATGATACTCAGCTGTATGTCTTGGCCTGTGGTGAGTTAAGTGTTGCTGTGTCCTCCCTCTCGCAGTGCCTGGAGGCTGTTAGTGGCTGGATGGGGAGCAATGGGTTGAAACTAAACCTTTGCAAGACCAAGTGGCTCTGGGTTTGGGGTTCATTGGCTCAGGGAGAATTGCCACCTTTGGTCTTGGACCTTGTGAGTAATCTTGGGGTTTTCCTGGACTCACAACTCCTGCTCGAAGAGCAGGTGGCGGTCGTGGCCAGAAAGGCCTTTGTGCAACTGCAGGTTGTGCATCAGTTATGCTCTTTCTTTCAGTGGTTCCATGTCCAGTTCTCACTGTTGCTTCTTGACCCGCATTTCCAATTTTGAACCAATCAATGGTTCCATATCCAGTTCTCACTGTTGCTTCTTGACCCTCATATAGGTTTCTCAAGAGACAAATAAGATGGTCTAGTTACTCCCATCTCTTTAAGAGCTTGCCACAATTTGTTGTGATCCACCCAATCAAAGGCTTTAGCCTAGTCAATGAAGCAGAAGTAGATGTTTTTCAGGAACGCCCTAGCTTTCTCCATGATTCAGAGTATGTTGGTAATTTGATCTCTAGTTCCTCTGCCTCTTCGAAAGTGCCTTTTGCCTCCCCCTTCAAATATACTGAGGAGTCTGCAGATGGAAATTCAAATTTTAGCCATGGACAATTGAGGCAAAGGCCTTATTTTCCCCCGAGTTGTCTGCATTTTACAGAGAAAAGGAATTCAGTGCGAAGAAGAAAATTACAAGGAGAACACAGGCATTTGATGTAGGAGCTAAGCCTTCCAGAACTTCACAAGTAAGAGCACACTTTTACTCGAGTCAACCCCTAAATTAAACTGGTTTGATAAATCAGAATTGAATTCTAACAATATTTGCTGAGCAACTTTTTATCAGTTAATATCTTCAAAATTGAAAACTCTGAAGCTTCTTTGAAGATAATTAGACCACATTTCACTTGTGAAGGTTTTGAATAGCATAGTCAGATCACGTCTGCCCCAAAATAGGTTGAACTGCAAAGAGAACTGTACTAAAGAAGATACTTAGGGCAACTTGCTTAAATAAGGCTGAAACAATAACTCCAACCAAGTCGGACTAAAATTATTTTCCAATTCAAGGATCATTTCTGTATTAATATCTACTCCTAATGCCCACAGACACATCAAAACAATTTACTTTTGCCAGAGTTTGAGATTTTATGACACTGGCATTTTGGATAGTATTTATTCTCTATATTCTGGAAATCTAGCAGCCTGTCCAGAGCAAAATCACTAAAATTCAGATCTAGAAGTCACGTCAACTTCTTTTCTAACCTGTATGAAATGTGCTGCCATAGATTAATGTAAATAATCTAGCTGAGGTAGAGTCTGCCAAATCTGTATAATCTCTACATGCTTCCAGGCTTCATTAAGTTTTCTGGGCATGATAAGAAATGCTGTTTGCCTCATGCCCTTTTCAGTTCCTCACAGTTTATTCCCTCCCCACCCCCATTTTTTATAACCAGTGATGTAATTCTGTGCATTTCCATTTAAAATACGAGTAATAGACCCAGATCCTATGACAACAAACTTTTTCTTTCTCAAGACCCACTGAGCCTGCAATGATGAAGAAAAACTATTTTTATACTCCAGAATTTTCAACCCCAAACTTTCTAAACTGGCAAATACATATTCAGAGCCAACATAAACAGGCACTGATTCACTTTCTCCAAAAGGAGGATTTTAAAAATATATATTATTAAAAGAGCATTCTGAATAGTGGAGCTCAAGAGGTTCCCCTGACGGCAATGCCAACAGCAGTCCACTTGAGCTACCAATACACCAGTTACAAAATCCTTGGCTTCTTGAAAAAAGAAAACACAAGGCCATTGATCAGTGCTAGAATTGCATATTCATGAGGTGGCAGGATGGGGAGAGAGGACCATTCTGGCTTAGCCTTGATTTTAACAAGCCTTTTTCTATATGACACTTTAAAAAATACATACTCTTTGTAATTCTAGAATAAATTAGATCACTTAATGAATAAGCTGCTTTCTCTTAGAAACCAAAATACCTCGTCAATATGCCATGAAATACTTCACTTTTTGAAAATGATGATGAAATAGATTTGGTAAGGGAAGCAGAACTAAGGCAAGATGAATGTGAGGTTTAATAAGGACATTCTCATATGAGAAGAACAGTCTCCCTAAGCCTGCCAAGTCATCAACACCTTCCTGAAGAAACTCAAAGGGCACAGCCATTATCTCTTCCCCAGAACAGTGAAATCTGGAAATAGTTTAATAATCAGCTAGACAGGACTTCTGGACTTCCAAGAAGGAACTGGACAAAGGCTGTCCAACATCCTGCCAGCAATCAGTCTATTAACAAATTTTCCCTTGCTTTACTGTTGAGTGGAAGTGCAAATTTGCAAGGTTTTTTCATAGCCAAGAGCAGCTCAAAAGTTATGAGTTAAGGTGAATTTGTCATTTCAGACTAGTGGATCACTGTTCATATAGCACACATTTAGCATTTTCCAAGACACTAGAGAACGGATTATTTAGTTTCTGATAGAATTGGCTTTCTTTTTCAGGAAACTCATACACTCTTGAAAATAATTTGATTATAGATTACATAAAATCTTCCTTCAGGAACTCAAAATGATAAAGAGAAAGAGAGAGAGGGAGGAAGGAGGGAGAGCATGACTGGGGGAATTGTTGCGAAGGAAATTCATAATATTGCCTATTAATATATCTCAAAGATTGCCCCAACTGAAAGAGGCCTAAGGATTTGGTTGGAAGAGCAGATGAACACTAACCAGTCTTGTAGATCTCATAACGCAGAGAGAAGCCAGCACCTTGACGGGCATAGTCTGAGGTGAATTTGATATACACAGAAGAGCCAGATGAAGTGATAGTAGGTGGAGCAATGTTTCCACAGTGTTTTCCCAGAAGATCTGCGTTTTCATTATCCCCGTCCCGTATTTCAATAAAATCATACCTGTCAATGGAAGAAGAGAAAAAAGAGTAACATTAAGAAAGAAATCCAGGGAAAAAAATGAAATATTTTTACATTTTCACAGGCATTTTATATTTTAACACATAGCAACTGTGTGACAAAGCCAGTTTCCAATGGCCCTGTTCCTTGATGCAACAAATACACTACATTTTAATCATATAATCTATTCTTGTAGCATTCCATCATCAATATTGTATTGTCAAATTATTCTCCTGAACAGAAGTCACTGTGAATTCTCCAAATACTTTGACAGCAACAACATTCAGAAAACCTGTATTTTTGCTCTTATTGAAAATAGTTCAGTATCTAAATATTTTTGATCCCTTGGGACTCACTGTGATAATCAAATATATGGCATCCTTGGTACATAAAACACAGAAAGCTCAAGACTGTTCCTCATTTTTTGACCTTTACTTATGTAAAAAATTGTTTTATGTTACTTATGTTTTGCTATATTCTGAGCTTCTATCTTTGCTGATTGTGTGTGACAATAATAATAGGAAAATCATTTTTAGGTGCAAATGTTATTCATTTAACTTGTTTCATGCATTTGTTAATGGGCAAATATGGCTATACCCCTTATGATTAGCCAGGCAGGAAATCTTTCAAATTTCATGGTATGAGAATCATATCTGGAATATTGAGCCAGGATTCCTTATTTAATTAAATTTGTACACTGCCCAACAGCCAGTGGCTTTGGGGGCTTGCTGGCACCTTAAATCACCCTGAACAATAAATGTGTTTATAGGGAATGAATATAAGGCAAAATGACTTTTAAAATGTAGCCGATTCTTAGTGTTATGCTTGGATGGCCACATTTAGGGCAGTCTGCCAATATTCTGTTTTTCTACCATTCGCAAAATTGCTAGTGTCTGCCCACCCCTGCCTCCACTTCATCTTTTGCTTTCATCAGATAAATTGTCAATCTAGAAAACAAAGAAAAAGGAAGGGCAATGTGAGTGGAAAATGAGGAAATGGTTCATGCGCCATGTATTCATCAAAGAACTTGTCCCATAAATTAGTCACCAGCCACAGACTTAAGTTGGACTCTTAGCCGGGATATGAGACTAACTCTGTTCTGGTTTTTGTACTCCTGTAGATGCTTTTCACAATTCTTTCTGTTTTACCCTTGAATGTGTATCCCTTTCCCTATGCGTCACTCCCCTAGACACATGCCCAAGCTGATCACATTCAACATACCCTTTTCAAAAAAATAAAAAATTCAAGGCAAAATTGGAAGACAAAGTTTGATTGAGAAGTCTGAAATGGTTTGCTTGCGTTTCAGCATTACGATTAAGCCTTCACTCTGTATGCATGGAGGCAAGGCGAGCTCGCAGGTATACTGTACTTTGGTTACTTTGTTTGAACAGACTTGTGATTCCTGACATGAACTTTCCCCTTAATTTGTAGCACCATGTAGCTGCATATACAGAATACATTTGCAGGAAACTGCCCATCCCCTTCCTTTTATTTATTTGCACTGGGTTAACTTGTTTAAAAAAACATGTTACCACTCTGCCTGTCCTTTGTAGAGGAGGAGGAGGAGGAAAGCAAAGTGATACATTGCCAGGCTTTGTCACAAGATCCCTTTATTTGTGAATCAAGAGCTGAAAGGAAAAATAGCATGTTGGACACAAAATTACTCTCATGTGACTCATTCCTTCCCTGCGAAGCACACATTGCCAAACTACCACACTATACAAACGTATAGGAATTCAGCGTGCTACCAACTTAGACTAACTGAGTAGTCTTTCATATCACTCCTTTCTAGGACTCAATCAGGCTTCACTCCAAAAACAAATGCCTGAAGCTATGATACCTTCTATCTATAGGCTCAACCAATACACTTCGCTAAGGATTGTTGCAGTCAAGTCTTGCAATCCTGTGGCTTATAGTAAGATCCACCCCTCGGCCTGTCAAAAGCAAAGGGCAAGAAATGTCCTTCAAGTAGCAAGGAGAAAGGCACGAGTGAATACCAGCTTTAAATAGCTAGATATACCTACCTAGGAAGGGAGCCAAAGAGTTTCTGAAGGACAAAGAATAAACAGGAAGAACTCTTGATATGAATATGGCTATTTGAAAACCAAGAAGAGGGGCACTGGAAAGGGCAGAAGCTGTACAGGTACAAGTCTGCTACTTAACCGTCATAGGAGAAAGAAAGGCATTTATTTTCACAGATAGAGCATCTTTTCACATCTGAGAACCACTGTAGAACAACATTACAATGAAAGTCTTTAAAAAGGCAAATGACAGTTAAAAGAATCAACAAGCTTCCCAAAACTTCCTCCCAAACTTGGTCCCCTCCATTTTGAGGCATTTACTATCTACCCCAGTTAAGTCTAGTACTTAGCAAAAGATTGCCTTCCTTTTCACAGCTATGGGATGATGCTCATCCATTGTGTTCGAAGAGGACCTTGACATCTAATGGGTTGTGGACTGTCCATGGTGTGTCTGCAGGTGACTGGTAAGGCCTATATGGGCACGGAATGTTATGCAACATGTCGGGCAGACATGTGTGGGCACCATTGTTGCAGGATTGGCAGCTCTGGCTTTGCAGAGTGCTTGCTTCTTTTGTGCTACAGTAGTTCTTTTGTCTTCAAATGTCTGGTAGCTTTGATGGATCAACATGCACCATGTCAATCAATCTTGTACCAGGGTTTCCCAGGAGGTGGTGTCGATGTCCAGGAACTTGAATGAGGCTTTCAACATGTCGGTCCTGTATCTCAGACTAACTCCCTAGAAATTGTTCTGGAAGGCGTCTGACAGCATAGCTGAAAACATTATGCTGAACAGGGTTGGTGCCAATATGCACCCTTGCTTGACCCGATTTGTAATGGGAAAGGCCTCTGAAGCTTCTCCGTTGTCAAGAACATGAGCCGTCATGCCATTGTGAAATTGACGTACCATCAGGATGAATCTGTCAGGGCACCCAAACTTCAACATGATGCGCCACAGACCTTTGTGACTGACAGTGTCAAAATGCTTGGTGCGATCCATGAAGGTGGTGTACAATTCATGATTCTGTTCTTGACACTTCTCTTGGAGCTGTCAGGCTGTGAAGATTATGTCCACGGTGCCATGCTCTTTGTGAAAACCGCACTGTGTCTCAGGTAATAGACCCTGTTCCAGGTGGCCAGTCAGGCAGTTCAGCAACATTCATGCAAGGATCTTACCTGTGATGAAAAGCAGTGATATTCCTCTATGATTATCGCAGACTTGTCGATTCCCTTTCCTCTTGTAGAGGTATATGATGGACGCATCTTTCAGTTCCTGAGGAATGGATCCTTGATTCCACAAGGATTGGAACAGCTGGGTGAGTTTGTCAACAAGCACTGCACTGCCATCCTTATAGACTTCCACTGGGATCACATCAGATCCTGGGGCCTTGCCCCTGTGCAACTGGCTGATGGCCTGTAGGGTTTCAGTCTTTGATGGTGGGGCATCCAGACTGTGGTTGATATCCGCCTGGGGCATTCTGTCGATTACCTTGTTGTTGATGGGCAGTTCAGTACAAATTGGAAATGCTCAGCCCAACGCTTTAGAATCAGAGTCTTCTCAGTAATGAGAGTTGCACCATCTGAGTCGAGTAGAGGGGAGCTCCGTGAGGGCTAAGGTCCGTACAAGGATCTGAGGGCTTCGTAGAACCTTTTAGCATCATTTTTATCAGCAAACTTCTGAACATCATCTGCTTTGGTACTCAACCAGGAGTCCTGCATCTTGCAAAGCTTGCCCTGTACGGTCCTGTGAATGTTGTTGAAGTTATTTTTCTTAGCTGTTGACAATGGGTCATTCTGATAACATGGTGAAGGCAGTGCTTTTCAGCAAGTAGGGCCTTGATCTCTTCATCATTTTTGTCAAACCAGTCCTGCTGTTTCCTGTGTAAGGGTCCAAGAACCTTTAGTGAGAAGAGTGCACAATATCCTGGAAGTGTTCCCAGCAGTGGTGGGATTCAATTTTTTTTTTACTACTGGTTCTGTGGGCATAGCTTGGTGGGTGTGGCAGGGGAAGGATACTGTAAAATATCCAGTCAGAGGCGATATTTGCCAATTCTCAGAACTACTCAAAATTTCCGCTACCAGTTCTCCAGAACTGGTCAGAACCTGAATACCACCTCTGGTTCCCAGTCCTTCTCAGCATTTCCCTCTAATTGCAGCTCTGAGAGCTGGTTGACAAGATCTTCTGCTAGTGAAGCTGTTGTATTACTCAGTTTATTGACGTTGATCCATTTCATCACAGCTTTGTTTCCCTGCTTACGTCTCTTTGGCTTGATATGAAAACTTAATTTGGAGATGATGAGTCTATGGTCAGTCCAACAGTCAGCACTCAGCATGGCTTTGGTCATCCTTACATCCTGTCTGTCTTTCCTCTACACAATAACATAATCAATAAGATGCCAATGCTTGGAGCGTGGACGCATCCAGGATGTCTTTTTGCAACTGGGCAGGCAGAAGATGGTAATGGTGATGATCAAATAATATGCCGCACATGTTTTCAGTAGTAATAGGCCATTGCTATTACATTTGCCGATTCCATTTTTTCCAATGATGCCATCCCAGGCAGCGTGATCAGATCCTACTCTCATATTGAAATTGCCAAGTAGAATCAGCCTGTTGGTGCACTTCACGGATGAAAATAGGGCATCAAGATCTTCATAAAACCTGTCCTTTACTTCATCCAGATTTGTCATTGCAGATGTGTAGGCACTGCTCAGTGTGGCCTGTTTTCTTCTCGGTAGTGGGAGATGCAGTGTCATGAGACAGTTATTCACACCCTTGGGAAAACTGGCAAGTTTGTGGATGATGATTCTTAACTGCAAAACCTGCTCCAGATTCACGGCATTCATCACTGCTGCATCCACATCAGAAGAATGTATAACCACCTCCTGTTTCTGTGAGCTGACCTTTGTTGGCTAGATGAGTTTCACACAGGGCCACAATATCGATGTTAAATCTTGCGAGCTCTCTGGCAACTAGGGATGTTCT